TTCTATATTCTAATAGGAATAGACGGTCAGTAAGGTATATCTAAGGAGCATAATAAATTTTACTAGAAATGCAGCAAATTTCTTGAGAAATTTTTTTTTAATATAGTACAGTTCCTAAAAGTAGCATCCTGTAAATAGCATCCTGTAAATAGCATATTCCTGTAAGTAGCATATTATGAAATAAAAAGATAGTCAATTATTGCAGAATATCGATTTATCTCTCAGTTACAAAATTCTATGGTGATCGTTAACTGTAAAATTCCCTCCGTGTAGATGAGTAACGAGATACTTCCAGAAAATAATCTTTCCAATCCTAAAGTACATACATATATATACGTACACGTATATTTCGAGATATCTTATATCTTATCAAGAGCCATATCGTTGGCAAGTTAGTTTCTCCACCTTTACAAATTTTCTAAAGACAATCGGTGTTTTCGCACGCTAGCGTGCTCTCCGCGGGAACAACGCGTAAGATCCTTTCGTCTCCTCTCAATGCGATTCTCCGGAATACAAGTACATATCACCCTTACCTTGTGGCACGCGCTTGTTCACGCGAGGCTGTGCGCGTACACAATCGTGCGCCAACAACAAGCACGTATACGGAGGTTCGTACGTCGGTTACGTACCTACTTACGGCGGGTTCGGTGATACATGGAGGTCGCACCTAAATTTCCCCGGGGAGTCATACGTCTCGGCGGCCTCTCACTCACTCTCTCTCTCTTTTTCTCTCTCCTTTTCTCTCTCTCTCTCTCTCTCTCTCTCTCTGCTTTTCGACTCTCGGCGATTCTCCGTTCATCTCTGTCTTTCCTTTTCTCTTCCGGCTTACACTCTCTTCCTCGACCTTCCTCTTCACCCTTCGTTCCGTTCTGCATTCTCGGTCGCGCTCACGCGCTCATTTGGCCGACGTGTATTCCGCATTCGCGGCATCCGGCGGTGATTCTTGCTCGCTCGCCGCACTCTCGCCGAGTCCACGTGGAATTATCAAGATTGCGGTCCGCGGAGACGGCGCTAATGGATTTCGAGATATTACCCCGCCTAAGCTATGTACACGAAATAACGTAGGCATGTGTATATATATATATATATATATATATATATGTATGTATGTATGTGTGTGTGTACATTCGCATTTTCGCGGGTGTACACACAACCTTCAGGATAATGTTGCCGCGACTCGTTAGAAATTCAAACTTATAGTTTCCTAGATTGTCTGTTACGTGTCCTTTATTATTGGTATGCTTTATTAGTATATATTCTTAATATATCCTTCTTATAAAAATGTTGACTACTTATAGATGAAAGAAAATATAACAGAACATAATTAATATATTCGATGAACAGATAACTTTTTTCACTCTTGTCTTATATGTCTCACATGTCCCTTTATTCTCCTGCTATCTCCCGGTTCCTTTCTGCTTCTTCTGAACTCTTCGTCTCAAAAGATACCTTGTAAGAATTGTATCTGTCGTAACTGAAATTTCACTTATACTAGAGATTACGTTTCTTCTTTAGAATTTTGTTTGCATTTCTTCTGCAAGTCCTCAATAATCCCCATATATGTTAATGTCGGAATAATATATAGGTTTAGGGATTAAGGCACAAGAGGAAGTAGAATATTCCTTGTACGAGTTTGTAGGATGGTTAAAGCCCGCAGGGATGTAACAGCAAGAGCGTCGTGTAACACCTCTCCCAAGGTGATCGCGAGAGTGGATTTGTAGTAGAGGGTACTTTTACGCGTGTCACCCTTTCGTCGTGCGCAGATAACCACGTCATTGTACTCGTGTACGTTTCTTTTTGTGTGTACGTATCTCCGTGCACACATATGTGTGTGTGTGTGTGTGTGTGTGTGTGTGCGCGCGCGCGAATGTGTGTATGTTAGATACGTGGCTCGTAACACCGAACGCAGGAAGGCATAAAAGACCGGCACGAAAGGCGCGATGGTTTGCCACAATTTCTTGAGGATCAACGGCTGCTAGCTCTTGGGCTTATTAAGTTTTACGAAGGAGTCCGTTGCCACAAAGAAGAGTCAGGAAACGGGAGAAAAAGATTGACACGGTGCGTCTTGTCAAAATTTACGAAGATATAGACCGCGAAGTGATTTCGAACCAATGCGGCCGCTCTTTCGTTTGTCCTCTTATTTCTTCAACCATTTCGGGAGAAAGATTCTATATTGCACTCTTAAGGATACAAATTTGTTCTCCGTCTAAATCACTAATAACTCGGTATATAATTTTCTTTGTGTAATTAAAGTAAATGAAACATTTAATCCAAAAAAATATGTTTTAATAGGAATAAATTTTTCTCAGAGATAATCCTGCATTTATAAGTTTCTATGCAATTTAATTATCACTTTTGATAATATTCATTGTACAATATTAATATTTGTTCCAAATTCAATAAGTTGAAAGAAAACCAGTAAATTCCTTCTCTTTCTCTCTATTAATCTTCAGAATCTGAAAGAGATCTTTTAGTTAGTAAATAACGTTCGATTCCCCTCTGAACCGTTGCTAAAAAAAAGAAACAAAAGAAAAACATGTCCTTAATAATCGGATATATCAATTGATCCCGTTCAGAATTTGCCATGTCACGGATTACGACTTAGCCCTGTTAGGATTAACCCTACAGAGTCGGTCAGGGATAACCCTCGGACAAACGTCGAGATCCGAAACATCCCTATAGGCCTGACGCGGTTGAACGAAGCAATTTGTAGACTATCCTCCGCGCACCCACGCATATCACGCCGATTCATGAATTAAACAGCGCCGTTTCGTTTCCGCCGATGCGTGCGCGAAAATATGCAGAGGGGTTGCCCTGGCGCGGCTTCCTATTCCGTATACTGATCCGCGTGTGTGTCTGTGTGTGTACGCCCGTTTCCACGCCGATGTTTTTCTCGCCGTGCACACGATGGCGAGAGGAAAAAATGGTCGAGGGAGGAAGATAACAGGGAGGGAAGATGGAGTCGGGCCAATTACCAACGACCTGCCGGCAGTTTCAACGCTGCATTCTCCTTCCATAGTTGGATATCCCTGCTGGCCTGGAAAGAAGTTGAGAAACGAAAGAGTGAGAGAGCGATATATACAGTTGTGGAGATGTCGCGTATTTTCTTCATTTTTTTTTGTCGAGAGGGAATTTATCGGCACGATGAATTGGATTACTGTTACTTTTCTTTCCTTTTTTCTTTCTGCAATCGGCCGTCGATCGAATGGACTGAGTATTTCGTAGCTACTAGAACATCTTGTTATTACAGAAAGTTATGATCTATTGCTATATTGTACAAAAATATTTCAATTATAAACCTGCAAGCATTAAGGCAGATACGGAAACTTCTTAAAAATTTAATGTTATAACTTTTTAGATGATTAATTATTACAATTGATTGTATGAAAATGATAAGGTCAACCTCCTTTTCTATTTTATGATTAATAAACCTGTAAATAGTTGGCTGTTATATATTGTTATAAATAGTTGTTGTTGTTTAGCATGTCGCGAATGAAACTTATATTTAATTTTTTAACGAACAAATTTTTTATTACATTTAACTTGTGCTGTACAAGAAACTGTAGATAGAAGAAAGGAAATTTGTATATTACATTATTATTACTGATGAATTGGTAATATAATTAGGGTTTCGAGATAACGAGATTAGGAAATATTTTGGCACATGTACAATTGTGGTGTGTGTAAAGGTTGACATCCTTCTTTTCGATGCATCTTGGGACTCAACCGATCTTCAGTGAAGAATTTGCTTTCGAAAAATTCTCAGAAGATAGATGTTTTATTGGCTGTTAAATCTGTTTACAATGTATTAAAAGAAAAAAGTATCATATTTATATTCATTTGTACATGTTCTTTACATGTATAAATGGTATATGCGTGCCGATACCTACGATGAGACGAGTTTTTTAGACACACACAAATCATTTAAAATATCTGAATTTATTGGCAATATCTTGACAACATCGGGAAGTGCGTGTGTGTGATACTGAACAGTGCGATAATCCAGCTTTAAAGATAGTCGGTTTCATTACTAGTGCATTATTTGACGTATTGCAACTAACCGTTCCACGCGATTGATCTACGCAATTAATGTTACTTAGCGTGTTGGGGCCGATAATGATCGTGACAATTAAAAATACGTTCCGTCTTTGAATTCTTTATTTATCCTACTGTACATATCTCATCCTTTCTACTCTCGATCACTCTGTGGTCGAGACAAAGATATTAGGAATCTCTCACTCATTTCGTTTGCTTATTAGAGGCTTGTTTTTCTCCTTTTACTCGCGCTCGTTCCCAACTGTTCATATTTAGCGAGTCTTGACGTGTTGCTATCTTACGAAATGTGAAGAGAGATAGAATTCTATCTATAAGTTAAATATAAGTTTTATAAGTTGCTTACCCTACTAAGGTTTATTGGAAATCAACAGTTTCGATTTGTTTTGTCTCGATGTTATCGATCGAGATTGCCGAGTCTCTACTAATCCTGAAACCAAAGTAATATAATCTTGTGTATGATAAACTCTGTCTCTGTCTGTTTGTCTCTCTCTCTCTCTCTCTCTCTCTCTCTCTCTCTCTCTCTTTCCTCGTATGGACGGTTTCTTAAGATCTTCGCGCGGATCTGAAAGCAAGCGCGCGCAGCGAAATCGAAGCTTACGGCATTAATAACATAGTGTATTATTTAGTGTATTAATCTACAAAGAAAATCGGCGTGAAATCTTATAGTTAGAACTCGTACAATACATGTTTTATTTGCGGATGAAATGTAGTATGAAATGTAGTACGTTATTTAGGGGTAAGGTTCATTTAGCGCTGTTAATGCTTCAAACGAATGGATGAATCATATTACTTTATTTGGCACTTTGAAGTATTTACAGTGTTAAGTGGATTCTGCCCTACTATGTTATGTTCGCTTCAGTTTACCCCTATCTCTTCTACATTTCGTCTCACAACAAAAGTTGGGACTCTGCTTCTCGCTCGATCTTGAGCTTTGTATTCTCGAGAACGTTAGTCTCGATTTTATGACTCCTGAAATCTAATCTCGCGGGTGAGATCGAGCGAGAACAAAAGAGAGTTTGCACGCTTCTATTGCTTATTGTGGATATTATATGACAGCGTACATTCTAGTTAGTATATATTTCAACGATATTGTTTCTTTAAATATATTTAAAAAAACGCGTCAGAAATAGTACCTCATAGGTGACTTGAAAAATTATTGAAAACAAATATTCATAATTAAAATAAAAATTTGACAAAATATCTTTATAAAAAAATTCATAAGTTTTCCTATTCTTTTCTCTTCTACGGGCTTCATAGAATGATATGCGGAGATTACGTTCATGAGGCTCGATCGATTCAGAAGCTGAGTATGGAGCGATAAGGGGAAGGGGAAAGAGGAAAGAGAAGGGTAAGAGGAACAACTCGACACGAGCTTCTCGAAAATCGAATGGAAAGTGAACCAAGCTCTAACATGTACCATTCAATATTTTTTTTTAAATACTGCATTTTTCCAGTACACAATGTACGCTTGTTGCGGATTGCTGTTTCACATTCCGACATAATAGTCCTGAGAGGACGTAGCAGTTTTTTTTCGAGAACGTGCAGCAATTTTTCTATTATGCTAAATTCAATAAAACCAATGGTCTTTAGTATCATCTCGCTGGTACCCAAATATCAACATGTCCGAATCGTAGCAATTCGTGCCAAAACGCGAAGAATTATTATAATATGAAAGTTTGTATATAGTACGTACTACACTAAAAAATTGAGGCATAATTTTATTCTTTCTTTGAAAAAGTAGAGAAATTTCAAGTCGTTCTTCTCTGATGAAGTGGATTGAAATGTTCGCGAAATGTCGGAATCAGACAAAGAAGAATCCACGCGGTTTAAACTTGGATACTAAATCTAATATTCATAGACATTGTGAAAGTTTCAAATGTAAAAAAAGAGTGTAATTTGTATGATGATAATGATATTGAGACAGTTTTAAGAAAAAATTTTACAGCTCTCTTGAAATTTTAACTTCTCAGACTTATCTTCAAATAATGATTTTATTTATTTATTATGGATTTGCAGATGTATACAAATTAAGATCCATCAAATTTTGAAAGTTTTAATGAATTTTCTCAAGTTCGGGGTTAAACAAAGAACTAACCAGCTACAATGATTTTTAAAATATATCTTTCATCTTCAACGATTTTGTACAAAAAATGTTCGCTCTATTCCATTGTAGCAGAGCCGTCGCATAGTACAAGATAAGACTTAAGGGAGAGGGAGGGTGCTTTCGTAATATGCACACACACATACACGCACACACGCGCGCGCGCGTGTGAAAGCCGCGCACACCGCAGTCATCTGTTGTAATTACATTAAAAGATATGTGATCCCTTCCGTTTAACTCAACTAGTGCAGCCACAGATATCTATATTATACTATATCGTACTACATATACGTACATGTCTATATTATACTACATCGTACTACATGTACATATCTACATTATACTAACTTGAGGCTTTGACGTATAAAATGACTGAACAGGATTTCCGATTTCGGCCATGATACCTTACAACAAAATAGCCACTTCCGTTTTTTTAATTATTGCATGAGATGTACTAAAATACTTTTTTCATCTTTAATAAAATAAAATTTTTCAGTTCACAAATATTTACAATTTTTAATTGAAATATAACCTTCTCAAATATTACTTAATTACTAATTACAAATATAACTTAATCAAATCAAACTCAAAATATCAAATATAACTAATCAAATATAACTTAATTACTAATTACAAATAAATGCGTTCAATTTACCCAAGGAAATGAAACTCATATTTTGTATTACTTTTTGAATTTAAAAATGCAACACCTCAGCATCTGTTTAGAAAGACAATTAAAAATTTAAATCTTGAATATTATCACGCCGGGTATCACATACGCACTATATATATATATATATATATATCGTCGGGCGTTCGGACACGTCATCCGGATGTTTTTTATCTCACTTTCGTATTTCCTACACTTCAACGCAGCGGGTGATGTTTCGAATGCAGCTAGCTATTTTGTTGTAAAGGCTGCGTTCCGTTTCACGCATATGCGCGCGTTTATCTATAGTTCATGTTACGTATATTGTATGAAATGCGCGCATAATGCGTGAAACGAAACGCAACCAAAGTGTCATAGCTAAAACCGAAAATCCTGCCGGCCTCATCTTTTTTGACGAAATTAGCGGTCTAGTCATAGAGGTAAGTATGAGTCTGTTTTCTGTTCCTGCACTGTTGAACTGGTGCAATAAGTTAGAGTGAGACAAGTATATTTTTTCTCATTCTAACTTATTGCACCAGTTCAGTGCAGTACAGAAACGAAAAACAAACCTAATAACAGGAGGGAGTGTAAGCCAAAAAATTGATGTCGACCTCGGGGCTTATTTGTATTATTTGCACCGGATGAGGAGAGACAACGGTGGAGACGGGCATACATGGACAGTAAGTCTTAAAGGATAGCAACCTTTGACTTTGAGAGACTGACAGCTGTACCATTTGATACAGTAACATTATTTCTCTCTGTAGTCACCGTGCGCTCGGGATTGCGCCAGAGATGTCGCTTCTGAATGGCATCTCTGAGCGTTATCTAAGGAAAAAAGAGTGTTGTGAGCGTGGAGTGTCAGGTAGCTCAGTGATTTAGAGCAGTCGCCCGGCAAACAAAAGATCCGGATTCGAGTTCCGGCTTAGTAAAACCTAGTGCTGTCGATATTTTTCTCTCTTTGGAACAAAAAAGATACGCAGATCTCGAACGCACGGCGTCCCGCCGCCACCTAGTACGCCCTCCTCCTTCTATGGTTTTCCTTTTTAAAATGACAGTCACGCTCCTATGTTTAACGAAAGCAAAATGATTGGTTAGCCGAATAGTTAGCGCCATAACATGATTCTGCACTGCACTCTCTGTACTATCTTGCACTATCGTGTATTTTCTCTTTTTTTATTATCTAATCGAACAAAATGCCAATGCGTTGCAATGCAAAAGTATCACTAATATTAATAAAGAAAAAGTTGCAGACATAAAGTCAAATGCAATAAAAAAGATAACATTCTACGTTTCAAATATCGCGCCCCGGCTACAAATGATTTCAATATGTTCCCCTCTATTTAGCCTTGCCGTGCGCGTGCGGAAGGATACATTCCCTCCTGTTATTCTTACTTCTATGGATCTAGTATAAGATGCTTTCCAGGTACGAAACACAGTCATACATTGTGTGACATAGTGTTACACGGTGTCAACTTGTAGCTGGAACGCTTTAGTCTTTTTATTTCACCGCCAGAGTGTAATTACTTAATTTGCCATTAGTTTATCCAGCGAATATGCATTGTGAATATAGTATGTGTGTGTCGATTTATAATAACTTAAAATCGTCAACAGATACTTTTGCTGTAAAAATTAATATTTTTTAACAAAAATTTCTTATGAATTAGTTTATTTATCAGATATATAGAAGACTGATAAAAAACTGATCAATTTATGTAAATTAAGTTATTACATGGAAAAATAATAAACATATAATATTAAATAAATATATTTTCTATAATACTGTTTATATGTTAATATGGTTAAGGGTCAATTGTTCCATTCGTTTTTTCTTCAAATTAGACAAAGACAGACATATGATTTAATTATCAGTTAACTTATTAATGCCTATTTCTACCAACTTTGGTTAATTTAATCAAAGTTGATAGAAATGGGCATAAGATATTGGAATAACGGGCCTTTAAAGACACGTTCAAAATAGAATCCACTTGAAGATATAAACGTTGTGGAGCGCGCAAAGAAAGGCTATGATTCGCCCCTTGGTTCGTACGACTCTTTAAAATGTTCGCAGCGTTAAGTGAATTCTATCTTATAGCTCATATTCTAAGTTCTTTTTATGAATAAAACCCGATTCCACCAACGTCGATTGGGCTTTGATCTGAGTTTAAGTCTTTGTTTCAAATAGTTTAAGCATGGCTTAAGGCTTGATCGACGTTAGTGGAATCGGGCCTAAAAGTGCCTCTAAATCTGATAAATTCTTTGACAGACTTGTCAACACGTTTAGAGACACTTTTATCGATAAAAGAGAAATAAGGTCTGTGTCTCTAGATTTTGGCTTGCGGAAAGGTATATGTTGTAGGCCTGGAGGTGGCGCGCTAATCTACACTTTTCTACACTATCTTACACTCTAAAAGATTCAAGATATAGCGTTGAACTTGTAAGCACGTTGTCAGTGTACATACGCAATATACATATATTTGATATTTTGTTTGAAGTATTGCATTTCTGAGACAATGTATTTTTATTTTGGGCTGCTGTTTTATATTCTAGCAATTTTATATCCTTGAGAAGGTATTAGTACGTACTTTTCTGTTACGCCAAATTCAGTAAGCTCAATGAACTTTATTACTTAGTCGACGTCTAAACAACGGCATGCATAAACAAATGGCACATCATGAAGAGCCTGAACGTTATAACAAATTCTTCAATCCGAATATGTGTCACGTTTGCAAGATGAGAGACCATGGCGACTTTATAACATGTGATCAATGCTACATGATCACCTACTGCAAGACAGAGCACCAACAAAAAGACTACCCGCATCACATACAGATCTGCATGGCTATGCAAACACTTTTGAAGAGCCATCCACATCTCTGGGTCACTGTCCAATTAAGTTTGGAGGGATGGAACCAGTCGAGGAAAGAATTTGTAGGTCTGATAAAGACAATGCTGTCACGTGATTTAAAGCCATACGAGGAGCAGATGATTATATTCGCCAAATCATGTCTTATTTGTCACCAGCAGGTGAACATTCACCCTTGCAAGAAGTGCTGGTCCGTTAACTATTGCCTTGATCACGCAGAAGCTTTCACAAAGAACCACCACACCAAGTGTAAGGATCTGCTGTTACATCTTACTCTGTATCTGGAGCTGAGATGTATTTCAGTGCCAATTATCAAATTCTGTGCGTTTCCCAATGTGTGTAGACGTGTTGACAATATGCATACATTTTGTGAACAATATGTGCGACGTGGATATTACACCATAAAAGGTTACACATGGATCACTGCGGATTACTTCTACTCCGATTACTTATCAGCACCACTAACACTGTATTATGGAATGAAAAATGTAAATCTGTTAAAATCTAAGAATAAACAAAATCATTATGTCGTTCACATAATAGCTGCAGGCCTGGTTGACAGGGAATATTTGCCTTATTGGGAACTTTTCCTACACGGTTTGCCCAATGTAAAAGACTTAAAAATTGTATTGATAGGGTCAGAATTGCGCGCTGAATGTGAAGATATTGCAGTTTGTGCGAAGTGTTCGACAACTTACAGGCGGAAGCTTAGTTTCGAATGTAGCAATATGTCATACCATAGCTACATGGACAGTAATTCGTATCAGCGGCCAAATGTAGTTGTGGGACTTCAGGCAGATCTCAATGAGTGGGACGCGTTATCGACATTGCTAGTAAAGATACGAAATGTGAAGTGTCCGTTACTACTGACTGCAAAATCAAAACTCATGTCTCAGCGGAATGTGAATCTGATCAAAGCGTTTCTGGACACAACTGTGAAGTTTGTATATCATGGTGAAAACAAATTTTGTTCTGGCAAGCCGTACAGAGATTTGGAGACTGATGGCGCATCTTATCGCAATAAGTATTTAGTTATCTACCCGAATTTGTTGCAAAAAACTAAGTCTAATTATAACAATCGCCGTAATAATTCTTCATAGCACTCAGAAAAGACATCTGGATACGAGAAATTTTATTTGAATACGAGAGATCAGCTGGATAAATGATTAGCGAATACTGTCTTTAATTAATATATTTCATTTTAACTTGCACTATTCTAACTTGCACTAGTGTGTACCACTTCAGGCATTTTAATTAAAAAAAACCTTCTGTGTGGCGTCTATTCAGACAGTCACAATTATTAGAAAAATTGATTCTGGTAGACAAAAAAGACCAGCGACGAGAGAAAAACAAATGTGATGATTAATGTTCCTCACATTATACTACTGTTGTAAATACTAGATATCACAAATAATTTTTTAGTAGATATAAAAAATAGCAGCGATCAATTCTAACTGTGACATTTAAAATTCCACCGACATTTTTCTTGAGCGAGAAAAAGGAAACCAAATATTACATTTAATATGTAAGATCACAGAAGAACATAAACAGTAAATATGGGAGCCCACAGAAGAATGCAAACAGTAAAACTTGAACAGTGAAACTTAAGTTATAAGCAAGTTGACTAACCACATGTGATGATTCTTCTTATGATCTAGGAATAATCGATTGTGATTTGTCGATTTCATTACTGCTTACATTTTTCTGTGCCATCCATTTAAGTGTGCATTGATGTTCATTTCACTGTTGCTACTTCGTCGACACGACTGTCTATGTAAATAGTTTTAAAAGCTATATGCAGGTTAAATACAGATTAATTCTATGAATTAATATTTGATGTTTTTAATAAAAAAAAGTTTAATTAGAGTTTCATTTCTTTTTCACGTTAATATCCTAATAGCACAAGATCTTCTAGGAACCACCTGAGAACATTTTTAGGATGTAGAAGCATCCTTAGAACATCCTTGGAATACTCTCTGGATATCTGTGCTATTAGGGTAGTATTAACCAATTTAAGAAAGACATGCTGGTTGTGTATAAATTCCATAAAATTGTATGAGCAATGTTACCATGAAATAATCAGCTTAAAAATGTGCATTTGTATTATGTAAATATTAAATTTATTACATAAAGCAGTATATCACACAACTGCAGAAGACTTTATTATAGCTAATAATATTTTACTTGCGTTTATTTGCACACGATGCAGTGTTGAGTTTGAGTCAATCAAGCAGTCTTATAACATTTTCCATTTGTTCTGATAATCAACAAATAATCATAAAATTAATGTGACATGCAACTTTCCTTTCTAATCTTTCTAACTTTTAATGATTAAAAATAAAAAAATTTCTAATTTATTTTCATAATTTTATGTCGTTATTATCTTAATCGTTTATTATCTAATTTTTTATGTAGATCGAATATAGTATATGTATTTTATCTCAGTTAACAAAATTTAATTGATACGTAGCGTTTTCAAAATGTATACCTATGTTTTCTACTTATGGAACACTAAGAAAAAATATTTGAAAATTTATTAGTGAGATATAAAGTTTATTCACAAAAATAGTTTATTTCGCAGAAATAAACTTTATATCCCCTAAATAAATTGTTAAATACTTTTTTCTTGAAGTATAAGAAAATATAAGCACGTAACACCTCAGCAAACCGTCAGGTTAGTTAAAATTATATCAGAAATTTGTACTTCACTTGAGATTTGTACTTTATGTTGTGTCATATATGCGTTATATTCTTCATATGAATTCGTTTGGGGATCTACTTGACTTTCTTTAACTTGAATTGGTATTTCAATGGTATTTTGATTTTCATGGTGTAGATACCATGTGTGACACACATCTCCAAAACCAGTTTTCTCCACTATTTTTATTTCACGCAGCCAAATTCCGTGCAGCGTTTTTGTATTGCGCAGTTAAATACTACATGTTATTACTTGAATTTCGTACATTAAGAAAAAATACATGCAATTTATTTGAGGAATATAAAATTTATTTCTGTGAAGGAACTTTACATATCTTACAAATAAATTTTGAAATATCTTTTTCTCATTGCATTGTTTCCTTTTATGTTTTCTACTCTGCTGTGTTGAAAGTTATAGTAATAGAATATTTATTAACATTGTTTCGGTTTATTCATTTAAATGTATTAGTGTCTACGCGTTATCTGCTATTATTTTTTGTATTCGTTCTTGGCGTTAATTATTTATGAATTTAATTGGAAGTACTAGTATTAACCTTACAACTAGTAACTAGGTTCATTTATGCTCGGGTTATTTTATGGAGTTTTCGTTTCTCGGAGCATTTGTTTAAAGATCATTAAAAATAAAACATCTGGTAATTTATTTTCCACAAAAAGCTATTTGATTTTCAATTGGAAGAATAAAGAAAATATCAATAATTGTTGAAGATTTTTTTGCGTATCCTAAGGGGAAAAAATCGAGGAAGAGACAGTAATGAGTCTGGTTAGTCTTCTGCAGATAGCAAAAATATTTTGTCACTTGGAGGATTGAGTATTGTTTGTATTGTATAGTGTACTAATTCTTAAACTATCTGGCATTGATATCACAGATTATCACAAAATGTCAAGAGGATAAAATCAAGGAGTGAGGATGCTAGGTTTTATGGTAATCTATATTTGTGTGCTGCCAGGTCTTAGAAAGTAATTATGCAAAATTTTATTCAGATCGGCGTCAAAGAGTATAAGAGTTGGTATGGAATATGCAGACAAACATTCAATTTTATACGTAAGTTATTATGTTGCATATATCAAGGAGTGACTTCAATACTTCGTATTGCATATATCAAGGGGTCATTTTAATACTTTGTTGCATACTTCAAGGAGTGATTGTCGTCATACATTTTGGTCTGCTTAGCAAACTCACTTTTTCGTATTTTTCTCACATATAATCTGTCAATTTGTAACCTAAGAGTTTAACAATATATTATTGTTGTTATCATTATTATTATTATTATTATTATTATTATGAGCAAAATGCTCAACAAATCTACTTCTACGAATTTACATCGGTCTCCCTTGCTTGTATATTCCCGGCTTCAAAGATTCTGCGTAAATAAATAGTTTTATATATTCACACACACAAAACAACATTGTCCGGCGGACAAATACGCACGTGTAGCACGTTTCTGTCAATTAAGCGGTTGATAAATATTTTTCAGAATGTTGCAGTAAATTTACCAAAAAAAAAAAAAAAATAAATAGAAAAAAATGCATCAAGCGGATATTTGTTTTGCAGTTTTTATTCTATATACATTTCACGTCGTACTCTTATGTACGTTATTGGCTCTGCCCGTTGATGGCTTCGTAACGCGATAATTTATTCGTTATTCTCGCGTGATGAATCTGCCGTAAGGCGAGCGCGTGCCAACGTCAATCGGAGCGGCGAGCGCGTTTTCGCAAAAAACAGTTTTGCATGGGCCGCGGGGGACGTTAAAACAATTGATCGAAAAATATTTAGTGATCGAATCAAGCGTTCGGCGAGCTCAGCGTGCTTACGTAAACCAACGCGGCCGGTTCTCGAAATATTTGTTGTTCTTCAATAAAACGTTACCGCTGCTGTGTTCTCGGGAGAGTTCGGCTATTTTTTATCCATAGTGGTGGCGGTGGTAACGCCAACGTAATATTGCTCGCGTACCATGGTGCCGTTACGGCGAGCAAACAGAAGAGACGGCTTGTTTATCCGTTGAATGGGAATGTGGACCGCCGGTTGATTACAAAATGCAATTAATTAACGATTACTTGTAACTCTGAACTCGACGCACCGGCGGTATCACTGCGGGTGGAAAGTTTCCTGAATCTGCGTCCGTGCTTATCTAGCAAAGAGAAAGGGGAGATGAGAAGATGGGGGGCGAGAGAGAGAGAGAGAGAGAGAGAGAGACAGGCTGCGAATAGCCGCCGTATAACTTCCCCGGGACTTTGTCGCGAGACATGTCGGCTATTTCGGCTAACGCTCGTCACATTGTACGCTATACATACACAACAACCGTGCTGTATCTCGTCAATTTACCTGAGGTCCGCACGACACATACTAGCGCGAGGATAGCAAGCTCGACCGCAGGACAGCGTCTCGTTCCTTGGCGGTGCCTTCGAGGATGCGCTCGGCCACGAACTTGGGCAGCGAGTTAACCGAAGGGATTATGCTTGAAATTTTGCGGGCCACATTTGCTGAAACTTGTTAGAATTAATCGACAGAGTCATGGTAAAGGTGCCGTTCGCGATAATCAAGCGATTATTATATATTGTCGAAAGTGTCAAATCTCGCGAGTCGAGTCTTGTTCGGATGCGACAATGAGAGTTTCTACGTGAGTAAGAGGAGGTTCGAGAACTTGGCATTAAACTGGTATACACTGTAGTATCACATTATATAGAGTGAGGCACGTAAAATGTGACAAGTGAATATTTCCAAAATATTGATGAAGAAAGACATTTTGTCAAACAAAGCTAAAATGTTACACACACACCCACACCTTAATTTTGCTTCATAATATTGATTTGTCGTCAAATATTATAGTTTTGGAAATATTCATCTGCCACACTTTAAGTAGCTATATCTCATATGTTAAGAATGCTCTCCAGAATAATCGAATGATATATTCCAGAGATAAACTCGCGCGAATGTACAATCGGTCTTTGTTTTTCAAAATTTCAGGTGACTGCTATTTGTTACTAAGTTTCACTTTTCAGTGTTAAATTTTCAAACAATTGTGAATCTAGTATAAAATTTCCGGTGAGAGATAAAATTAACCTAAAATCCCCCCAAAAACGAACTTTCGTTTACGTTCCCGAAGTTCGATTTGAAACTCTTTTCCCGATTACAGCGCAAAATAATCAGGCCCAGATAGTAACTTCATGCAAAAAAAAACTAGAGTTAAAATAACTGTGGCAGATAAGATGTATCATTGAAATAGGGACAGCTAATGTCGATACTACCGAAGCTAAATTTATTCGCTGTTTAAACTTAGGCGCTACAGCGAGAAATATTAGCTGCTAAAAATAAATGTAACAAATGATTGTAGCTGTGCGGCAAACTTCTTTAATATATGTATACGATAAGAAATTTAGGAATAACTATTATTTTCTTAGCTACTTGAAATAATATACATTTTTAATGTTACCTAATATATTTGTATTTTATAGCAAATGCACTTTAGCTGTCAGTCAATTCTTAGTAGTGACAGCTAAACGATTAGCCTTTTGACTAAGTTTGAATCAGCTATCGCGGTTTAGCTGATATTACTAAGGCATTTTTTTGCGTGTTCCGTGAAGTAAAAAGTTGATTATCATTGAGAAATTATATTAAATATTATACGCCATTTCTTATATATTTGCGTACACTTGCTGTACATTTCCTTCCATCTTTCCGCGTTCCACGTTCAGAAAGGAACCGTGAGAAGACGCATACAGCTGATACAGGAATCATTATTGCAGTAAATTTTTTACGTTGATCGGAAACAGAGAGGAAAAGAGGGAGAGAGAGGGGGGAGAGAGAGAGAGAGAGAGAGAGGGAGAGAGAGAGAGAGAGAGAGAGAGAGAGAGAGAGAGAGAGAGA